ATGAGGAGAGTGAGATGGAAAGAAAGTAAAAACTAAACACTATTAAAAATTAAAACATGATCGTTTTAAAAAAAGCAAAAAAAAAATCCATATAACTTTGAAAGGCGTGTTCAATGCTATGTTGTAAATGGAGATGGTCCCTCAAAAAAGATGCAAATGAAAAAAACGTAGGAGTGAAAGGGAAAAATCCAAAGAGGGGACGAGTTATGTAGCATCTAATTAATAGGAATTATAGGTAGACAGAAAAGAGAAAGGGAGAAGAAATTACTAAAGCAAGCAAAGGGGAAGATAGTAAAGTCTCTTTGAATACACGCACATACACACACACACACACAGATTGAAACTATTCATTATAGGCCGCTGTCTCCACATGCCTCCAAGGCAAGGTATGATGTACTTTTAACAGGGAAATTAGCTGTGTTAAACAATCAGCCGAACTACCGAGGAAATTGTCAAAAGGAGGCAAAATTACTAAAAATAGTGAAGTCAATCACTATTTTGAAAAAAGTACATGAATACATGTACAAAAACATGAAATATATGTATTTTGAAAAAAATACACAAAAAGATGAAAAAATGCTTTAAAAATCTGAAGCTGTTTCATTACTTAAGAATCATCCTATTTGATGAATGTAAATTTGGCAAATAGGTCTTTATGAACATTCTTCATTAAGTGACTTATCTTTGATGTTGTTTTTAGGTGATGTTGATTTTAAATTGTGTCTTCTTCCAATCATCCCACTTATATATGAACTGATCATGGCTGTTGGATTAATTGCTGACTAGTGAGCCACTCAAAGTAGAAAGAAAGCAGGTGACTGGATGGCATTCACCACATTTTAATCCAGGGCAATCAATAAATATGTTACATAATTATTGGGACAATTCTAGACGTAATGATAACAATCCTTAGTTTTTTACCTTGATTATTTACTGTGGACATTCCTGGTGTATTAGTCCTAAATACTCTCAAGATATTCCGCCTTAACTCATGTATTTATACTGGTAAAAACATCATTCTCAGAGCTAAGTATAATGTGTTTATTCTCTCTCCATTAGAGTCGTGTGCAAAGTATCTACTGCTAACGAAAAGATGACGGATACACATATAATTTGCTGGCCAAATTAAAACAAAACAACTGTTTGATTTAATCTAAACACTCCAGGTATAAATCCTTGAATCACTGATTTTTTAAGGGAACAGCATATTATTTTGAAAATTGCTATTAAGAAATACAGTTGGCTATTTTCTTACCCAGAATTATTTCAGAGAGTATGATAAAGCAGTTTCTCTAAGCAATCGTTTGTAGGTATAAAAGAAAAAAAATTTAGTGACTAACAAACAGCGTGAGGCGCTGAAACACAAACTGGAAGGAAGCATACTTTGGAAGACAGCACAGTGCATCAGGTAGGAGTAACAATAAATATAGACCTGTGGTAGGAGGAAGGCTGGAGCAGCTACAGAAAGATCAGTTAGAACTTTCAAAATAAAAAGGAGTGACATGCATTTGAATTATTTAAGTTACCAAATAAGGATAAAGACTTTCAGTTTTACTTTTTTTGAATGAGGACAAAATCTTGCTAACATCTGTTCTATTTAGCCCACTGTGATTCTGACATTGGCAGGGTTTTTTTTTTTCTTTTCTAACGTGCAAAGGCTCTCTTTGGTATTGTGAGTCAGGGATGTTAAAGAAGTGCTTGAACTGCCTCCTCTTCCTTGTCCTGCTCCTTTTGCTCCCGTTTCTCTCTCTCTTTCTCTCTCTCCCCCCTCTCCCCCCCTCCTCCCCTCCTCTCTTATATGGTATAAAATGCTTTGCTTTTGTATCTTTAAACAGTATTCTGAATGTTGAATGTTATTAAATGCTTCCGAATGACTTACATGTTAACTCTTCTGATTATCATCTGATTACTGAATTACTCTAAATAACACTATGAAGAAATATTTTGATTTTCCAATGTATATTTTGATTAAAAGATAAACTGATGAAATTAGTCCTGCAAAAAACATCGAAAACCAAAAAATTCAATTTTTTGATTGTGCAAATTTACATTTTTCATTTTTATTTAAATATCTACAGAATTATATCTTGTAATTTCTACTAGTAGTTATACAAACACTAATTTAATAAACTACACATTATATCATTTTCAAAACAACAGAATGTATGACTCCTATGGTAATTAACCAACCTCACTGGTATCAACTTTACTCCTTTCTTCTTAACGTTTTTGATTTTTAAATTCAAGAAGTATACATTTAACACACAAATAATTATTCATGGCCCTCATATATAAGTAGATGTTTTGTCTTGTTTTAAAATAACATTTTGAGGGGCCAGCCTCATGGCGTAGTAGTTAAGCTTGGCATGCTCTGATTTGGCCGCGTAGGCTTGAGGGTTCAGATCCCAGGTGTGGACCTACACCACTCATCAGCTATGATGTGGCAGAAACCCACTTATAAAGTGGAAGAAGATAGACACAGATGTTAGATCAGGGCCAATGTTTCTGAGCCAAAAAAGAAAATAAGATTTTTGAAATATTTTTAAAAGCCATATTGATTTTAAATGTGTTATTTTAAAATATGTATTTTTCTGCTGCCTTCAGTAGGATGACTTTTTTTGGTCTAAGATAAATAGCACTTTTAATACCAGTAATGATAAAAAACCATAAGGCCTCTTCATGTTATTGGAATTCTGGCCTTGTTTTCCTTACTAGTCCACCGTCTTTTATCTCATAATTAGGTTCTTTTCCCCCACAAATGTATAACTTCACTATTTTAAGCACGTATCAATAGTTTTTAAAAATGTTTGGATAAATGTGATTTTTATTAAAATATTATTTAAAAAATCCATATGTCCATAATAATAACACCCAATAAAATAATTTTTAAATAGGTTGTTTCTAATGTTAAAATTTAAATTTAAATAATATGTTTTTGTCAAAATAATGATAAAAATAATGTTTAATTATTTCTCTTATAACAGACACTTAGAATTTACATATGCACACTTATTTTGCCTCTCTGAACTCTTTAAGCAGGTTCTGTTTCTTATAATTTCATAGAATTCATGAAAGCGAACCCTCCCACCAAAAAATGCAGATAATTTATAAAATAGATGTAAAACTAACTTGTTTGAAAACATCAGAGCACCATGAAGGCAGTCATATTTTGAGGGGACTACATTCCGAACTGTAGGACAGTCACATGAAACTCATAGTAAAACCAGGAAAAATTAAAGTTAAACAAAAAATTGTAAAGACAGATTGAGAAAAACACACATGAACTTCAAAGAACCCACATACAGATCATTTCTTGAGTTTTGGACAGTTATAATCAAGGTCTAAAAACAATCGAATGCCATCATTAAATGCTGAAAGAAAATATCTGCCAACTTAGTTTTGCCAACCTTTGATATTCAGATAAAATATCTTGCAAACATAAAGAAGAAATAAATTTTCCCTCATTAAAATTATATTCTAAAGAATAGGAAGTGTGTTTTTCAGAGACAAGAAAGGTGCATTCAGAACACAGATTCAATAAAATGAAAATAAAATTAAAGTGAAAACTGAAACATAAAAAGCAAAGACAACATTTTAGTAAGCTTAATTTAATACTGATTAATAAAAGGATACTAAAATGTTGTGGATTGTGTAATTTAAAATATTTGTCAAATAAAAATACAAAATGAAAATAGTCTTTGAAAGTAGAAATAAGGACAGTATGAGTTACAGTATGCTAAATTTTATAGAAGTAATGATGAAAGGGATCTAAGTTTGATAGAACCAAAAAGAGAAATAAATCTATAATCATATTGCAGATTTTAACAAACATTCCAAATAATAAATAGAACAAAAGTTAAAAAATAGTAAATATATAGGAAATAAGAATAATGTGCCCACAATCGCCAAATCACAATTATTTTCAAGAGCATATGGAATATTTACCAACGTTGACCATATGTTGGTCCATAAAGCAATGTCAACAAATTTCAAAGTATTTATATCATGGCATATATGTTCTCTAACCTTCGTGGGACTGAGGTATAAATCAATAACAAACAATAACATGAGTAAATCCTCTCAGGAAAATAATCATTACAGCTAAAATGTTTCATAGATAAAAAATAAATCACACTGAATCCAAAAGATATTTTAACTGAGTGATAATTAAGATATGCCATATAACACTTGTAGAAAGCACCTAAAGACATACATAGAAATTTTTAAATTTAAATGCATATTTTTATAAGAAAACAAATAATACCTGAAATTCAATAATCTAAAAATCTAGTTCTTGAAGTTAAAAAAATATATATTAAATCCAAAGAAAAAGAGTGAGTAAATTAATAAATATAAAAGAAGAAATTAAGGTGATATAATGCAAATACACAACAAAGAAAAAGCCTGAAAATTGGCTTTCTTAAAAGACTAGTGTGATTAATAACTACCAGTGAAACTGAGTAAGGACAAAAAGTAGAAAGCACAAAGATCATTATCGGAAATGAAAATTTGATATCTTTACATATGAATAACAATAAATTTTAAAATTAATGAAACATACAAATTACTAGAAAAGCACAGTCTGTGAAACAGACATAAGAAATATATAATTTATACAGCCCCAGATTTATTAAAGTATATAAATCCACTATAAAAAGTGAAAACTCCATGGGCAAATGCCTCACTATTGATTCTTCCATACAATTATGGAACAAATCACATGAATATTACATAAATACTGCATAACTCATTTCATGAGATCATGTGACCTACATACCAGAACAAGACCAATCGTTACAGGAAAGGGAAATTGAAGGTCAATATCCCTTTGAATATTGATGCAAGCAACCTAAAGAAAATATGTGCACCTATATTTAATGATTTATTTTTTAAAAAGTTATCAATAAACCCATGTGCATTCATTTCAGGATTAAAATTTTGGCTCAAGATTCATATCAATGTTATCTATGAAATTGATAAAATATAGAACTTACATTCATTGGATGCAAGTGGTGGTAAGAGTCCTTAGTAAGTTAGGAGAAGATAATCACTTTACATTACGAGTAATTTGCAGATGATCTCTAGCAAACCTCATGCTGAAGGGTGAAATATTTAAAGCTTGAGGTTCAGAATGAAAAGCCAATGTCTACTATCACAACTTGTATTCACCATTGTACTAGAGACCTGGACCAGTGCAATAAGATAGGAAAAGAAAGGAAAGTGATAAGAATTTAAATATGATTAAGTAAAACTGCCCTTATCCATAGATAAAATAAGAGTGTGCATTAATGCAAAAATAATACATAAAAATGGTTTAGCAAGGCTACTGGAATATCAGGTTAATATGCAAAAATAATTTATATTACCCTACTCCAGTCCAAAAGTGACTAGGAATTAAAGAATATCATATATAATAGTATGAAAGACATAAAATGCATAGGAATTATTTTACGAGAAATGTGCAAAATACGTTAACACTAAACTATAAAACATAATTGAGAAAAATGAAAGAAAATCCAATTTAATGGAAGACTACACCATGCTCATGGATCGGAAAACACTGACATTTAAAGATGCCAATTAAATTAATCTGTAGATTCAATGCAATCTTAATAAAAATGCTAACAGTTTTAAGGGAGATTAAAATATATTTCTAGAAATTATTTGGAAATGTAGATGGCCAGAAATAGCCAAGACCCACTTGCAGAAGGAAAACAAAGTGAAAGGTCTTAACTAATATTTTAAGACTTATTAAGTCACATTAATTAAAGCTGCTGTTAAGCAAAAACCTGATGCAAAAATCTACATATTCTATGACATCTATATATACAGTTCAAGGTTGTGAATAATTAATCTAGTGTGTCATAAGCCATGATAGTGACTCCATTTTAGGAGAAAGGGTTAATGGCTTGTCAGGGGCCTCAAGTGGCTGCTAGGATGCTGCTAATAACCCATTTGAATCATGGTTATATGGGTGAGTTCGTATTAAGAATATTCAATAAGCCAAACACTTATGATTTAGGCATCTTTTCATAGATATGTTACCCTCAACAAGCATTTATTTTAAAATGTGTATTAGATATGTCACTGCACTCACTATACACATGAAAAAACTGCTTCAAAATTAAATAATTTGGAAGTTTACCATTTATCACTGTCAAGACCAGCACTCATTTAGTTTGATTCAATCCAAAGTCCATGTTCTTACACAATAATTATACTATCTCTGATGAAATCCTGAAGTTTTTTCAAAGGGGTAAGTGGAAATTGAATTACTCATTTGGTTGGAAAGAAGAGTAGAAGCGTTGGAATAATTAGAATCACTGGATAATAAAAGGACTAAACTAAATTCAAGAAAGAAAGAGTGACATAGATTGAGGGTATGCCCTTCCTTGATCCTACACATGAAGTCTTTCACTATAAAGGCTGAGGAAACACTCATTCAGAAACGTTTTCAAGGTAACATGTTTGATGGATTTAACAATGCCCTGATCTCAGAGCAGGTTGTTACTTTGGGCTAAGCTGAAATTCTTTATTTTTCATATAAGGCTATCATCATCTTCCCAAGCTTCTCAATTCAACTTTTTTTGTGAAGATGGTGTACAAACTGCTGAATATAGCTGTCACTTCTACATTTGCTTACGATTATCTGTGTTCTTGATTACCACCTGTCTATATTGATCGAAATATTTTATGCAATAGTTCATTTGAAATAGTCTAAGTCCTTTGCTTTGGTAGATAATTTTATTATAATAAACTTTCATTACAATGTTCTCTTCACATTAAAATATAAGTAGCTTGGGGCTGGCCTGGTGGCACAGCAGTTAAGTTTACATGTTCCACTTTGGCGGCCCAGGGTTCAAACCCGTGTGCAGACCTACATACCTCTTGTCAAGCCATGCTGCGGCAGGCATCCCACATATAAATAGAGGAGGATGTTGGCTCAGGGCTAGTCTTCCTTAGCAAAAAGAGGAGGATTGGTGGCAGATGTTAGCTCAGAGCTAACATTCCTCCAAAAAAATATATATATATGTATATGTACAAGTAGCTTGTTTTCATGCCATGTAAATACAAAAAGAAACACATCCTAAGATATATACTCTTGTATATATGTTGTTTATAATTGACTGAATTTCAAAAACTTAAGTAAACAGAAAGTCATGTTGAAAAACTGATCTTGTGACTCACACTTTGCCCTATTTTGCTACAAGTCAAATAGTTTTTTCAGAGGGTGGATATTAAGATCAAGAGGCTTTTTATACAAATTGCTGCTTTATACAGATTCTTCCTACACCCAATGTGACTAAGTGGTATCACCTTCCATACATTGGCTCTAAAAGAGTATAATGAATTAGTGTACTCAGTTAATGAGACGGTTGTGGCCATCCCTCGTCCCTTTAAAGTTTTCCTCAGAAACGTAGGAACAGGGAAATACATCTAATTATACTATATATATGAGTCTATCTATTTAAATTATAGTCATAAGTCAAAGAAAAAAATGATTTTGAAGACATTTAAACCTAAATATTTACCAACACTTGTGTAACAGAAAGACCATTGGAATGAATATCAGAGGGGCCCAGTTCTAGTAGTACCCCACGATTGTTTGTTTGACCTTGAATGTATTAAGAAAGGTAATAATATACATAGCATCTGAGTTGATGTACTATTTAATGTAGTGACTGCTTTAAAACTTAATGTAGAATTTATTGGAAATTTAGTTTTGTCATAACGCCTCCTCCAGATATAGATTACTTGAGAAGGAATAAAAGATATTATTCTCTCTTCCTAGGACATTAGCCCTTGTTAAGGCTCTGTCTCTCTTTTCCCTTATGATATCAGGACATCAAAAGAAAAGATGACAGTGGATGAAGGCTAACGTTTAGATAATTTCCTAACAGGGCTTTCTATTTCAAAAATCTAGACCAATGTGGACAATTTAGCGTATTTCCCCAGAGGGTTCAAGATGGTGTAAATTGATGATTAGATAAGTGAAACTGATCATTAGATAAAAATTACAACGGAGATTAGGGTCTTCTGGGTGGAATTTGCAATAATGCTTTGGAGCCACAAAGGGAAACATCATATACAGCCCCCTGAATTTGTCAGAAACTTGAACCCTCACCTCAAGTAACTCAGAAGTGCCAGATATGTTTTTCCTTGATGAATGACAGTTTAATAATTGAATATGATTCTATCCTATCAACATACTAATACATTGTCCATTTATTTAATATTCATTGAATACTTACATCCCTTTCCATTCCACTATTTAGATACATAGATGGATAGAGATAATTAACACCATTGCACATATTTTCTGAGTAGAACTGATTAGATAATGACATCATATAATAAAAGGGTTTTTAACTCTTCGAAATCTCTAATTTTTACTAAAGATGCATAACATATTAGGCAAATCATAATGCTTTGAGAAATGTCAGAAATAAAATTTAAATCCAAATACAATACTTCAAGTAGCATATAAAAATAGAGTGTGGGTTGACTTGAAACCAAATTCAATACAAGTATGTGATAATTTTCACTATCGTAGAATAAGCAGTTTTACTGAAAATAAATATATAAAGATTAGTGACGTTATTTTATCATTCATAGCACAGTTTACATTGCCACTTATCAACAGATACTGTGGTAATTTACTTAAAAATGTGTTGCCATTAATTTTACACATTCCTGAATGTTCTTTCCTATTAAATAACAACAAACATTCCAAAATGTATTAACATAACAATTCTACTGACTTTCCTTAGACAGGTAAAATTCAGAATACCTCCCAAATACTAAAAAGCTAGAATGACATGTTTTTCTCAATTAAACTAAACAAGACTCATTTGCCTTACATTTTTCATGCCATTGCCATTACTATTTGTTGAATAATCAGACATTAATGAGCACGTGCTTTAAGTTTTACTATACTGACACAATCCAGTTGCAAAGAAGTTACAACCAGCTATACCCAATGGATGAAGTATAAATATGTCTGTTAACACTACTCGACATTATCGAACTCCCTTCTATTTAATCTAACGACTAGAAATACGCACTATGGAGACAGTCTTCACCTTAGAACACTCAATGACACTAGCATTTTGAGTTTTAAAGTGAGCAAAATTGTTATTTTAAATCATTTGATGTATCTTTCAGTTCTAGAATTCATTTTTAAAGTTCTTTGACTTAGAAATTTACCCCAAAAGTGACTGATCCAGTTGAGATTTCACCTGCATAGAAATTTTCTTTCCCTTATATTACCACACCAATTATGTCTTCTCATTTGTTTTTCTAACTCATTTTTTTGTCTCTCTATTGAATTTACAGCAGCCTCTCATCACAGTGTCCAGGTCTTATTATCTCTGATTCTGTTGATCTACCCTGTTGTAGTCTCCTTTACCTTATTCCTTAACACATAGACATGTTATATATATATATATATATATATATGTGTGTGTGTGTGTGTGTGTGTGTGTGTATATATATATATATATATAGTCCTTATGGTTGTCTTCTTACTTCTCCCTTACCAGAACTTCCTATCCCAGCTTGTGAAGCCAAAGCCATTAATTTGGAGCTGGCTGAATATTTGCATTCATGACCTTTGACAGCGATTGTCATTATCCTGTGATTAAATTTAATTCTCAACTCCTATTAGGAGGGAGAATAAGCCTAAGGTCAGGCTTGGATTTACTCTCAGTTAAATCATTTACCAGCTGTGTGATTTGGGGCATTTTTATTTAACCTTTAAAATTTTCCTTTTCCTTATGTCTTAAAAGATAATAATAGGGAAATGTGGATGTAAAAAATAAACCAAAACAGGATCTCTTCTATATTCCAAATACTAAAACCATTATTATAAATTTAAACAAGGTTAAAAATATTTAATAACCATGTATTCCTGTCCTTTCCCTATCTTGACATTCTTCCCCACCATTTTAAAGTAACCAAGTTAGTGCATCTTTTGTGTATAAACCACGCTAGGTTTATCAATTAGAATTAAGGTCTGCTGTGAGGTATTGGAAGTCAAAAATAGCATGGATTTAAATAAGAGAAGGGTCTTTCCCTAAAATATAAATGTAAGCAAACCAGGGCTGATACGGCCCCACTAAGGTCATCAGAAATCTGGGAACTTTTATTACTAGTCCAACCTGGAAAACAAGATCGTCATTACAGCCATCAGGAAGAACCGGGTGAAGGAAACAGGCAGAGTAGATAAAAGTTGTCTTCTTTCTGATAGTTCCTAGAAGCTTTCACAAGTATCTTTCACTTTCACATACATCTCATTGATCAGAAATGCAGTCACATGGCCATACCTAGTTGTAAGAAAATCTTTTTCCAAATAGCAATGCACCACCCAAACCCTGGGATTTTATTACTATGTAAGAATGAAAGAAAGGATATTTATTGGAACCACATAAATGTTTCTATAATAATCTCAACCTTTCACCATTAAATGTTCTATGCACACTACCTTTCTTGAACAAAGAACATATTCAACCTTCCTGAAGAAAGACAGCCCAACAACATCCGCTGCCAAGTCTAGGACCTCTTGGTGATATATGATCCACTCCATCTGGTTCAGAAAGAAAGTAAATAAATAAATGCTTAAACACATATATACATAAAAACATACAGTCACAATACATACATTCACATATATATGCACGAAGGGCTTTTATAAGTCACTATAGATAATATGTCATAACTGAATTGTATAATTAAATCAAGCCTCAGCATACCAGATCCATTAAGAAGAAATTTAGGCAAATTAATTGCCCATGAAATACCCAGTGTATGATAGAATAATAGGAATAAAACACCACAACAAGACTACTATCTTTTAAAAAGGAGAGAATGTGAACCATATAATAGAAATTATTAAATTCTACTGGCTTGGAAGAGTAAAGACTTTCTTCTCCAGCAGTAAAATAATTTCCTTTGTCCTCCCATATCCCATCTGTCAGCATTCAGCTCCTTTTATGAGTTCCTCCCCCAACCCCTACATTGTCCTCTGAGATCTGTGACTCTCTCTGGGCATTCTTTTTTGAGTATTATCAGAAAATAATTACATTACGACATTCAATAAAGGGAATGGATATTAGTCCACTGTTAAGGGCTGCACATTTTTCTAGACTTCCTCCTGCTGACGTATATTTGGTGGTCTGAGGATGTAGCTTTATGAAATAAACATGATTTTGCAGGCCACACTTTTTAATTCTTTTAGAAATAAATTCAAGTCCAAATACAGAGTTTTTCTAATTTATTTTTTTTCCTGTGAGCTTTATATGCAAGTGGCAGCATCCAATGATTTTATGTACAAATAGTTCTATGTATTAAGACTTAGATCCTTTATTTGAGTTTCCACTTCTCAATTTACAGGGAAATACTTGAAGTATACCTGATGGTATGGACTTGGCTTGAAAAGGGACACCACAAATACCTTGTAATCTAGAAGGCCAAAATCTTCACATTGCAACAATGTCAGAATAACCAACACTGACAAACTGAAAAAACACTCATTACTAACCTCTTTTGGCTTGTCCAACCTTCCAAGAGTCCAAAATACCAGACTCTCAGAAATTTTATATGATAGGTCACGGACAGAAAACCTCCTGATTGGGGCTCCGCTCTAGTCCCTTCTCAGCTTACATCTGGCTAGATCTAGCCCAAATTTATCTCTTTCATAGGATTTGGCTGAAAGCAGCAAAATGCAGCCAATATACGCAGCATTACACATTTTTCTATAATTTTCCCATAATGACAACTTCGGTTGGAATAAGTTCTGGCTCCTCTGGTGAAACAAGTCATCCTTTAATCATATGTTTTGTTTTGCTTTTTTCAGTCTCATAAAAAGGATCATCAGTTTTCCAGTCTTGTTTCCAACTCTATGCTGCCTATTGACTGTCCACTTTTACTAAGTCAATGCCCAAATTTTCAGGTTGTGTTACATGCAGCAGATACAAAATTCTCCATTCACTAAAATTTGGTTGAGCTGTCAATGATACAAAATCCACAATATTCTATAGAAGTGTATTTCTTTCCAACGTAAAAGCCATGTGAGTAGTCTATAGCTGGTATGGTGGCCCTATAATTGTCACAGACAAAGACTCATTCTATCTTGTTCCGAACTAATCTCAATTTGGGACTGCTGACTCATTCAAGATTACGTTCTTTAATCCCAAATATCACGTTTATATTCCAGATGGCAGGAATGAGGAAAGGAGACAGAAAGGAAGGGGCAAAATGGAACATATTAGATATTCTTAGGAAGTTTCCCAGAAGCAGTGTTTCTATAGTATTAACTGATATTTCCTTATGCGGACTGAGATGGCTCAAAGGAGAACTGGAAAAGATTCATTACTCCATTTTCATGTTCCCATATGATATTTATGTTTCTATCACAATAGAATAATAAGGAATAGACATTAGGGATTAACAAATAGTCTTCGAAAAAATTAATGACATAATAGTATGGAGATAAGATACTGTTTTTGATTTAAGAATGATGTTCGTACACTTAATTGTGGGTAATGTAGCAATCTATCTAATCTTGGTTCGTTCCTGAATTCTACTCAGCCATTCTTTCAATCACCTCTAACTGCCTTCCCACCGATAATGCTATTTCTCAATACCATTCACACAGGAAAATATATAAAATATATGGGGGGTGCTTCCTTACCTGCAAAGTGATGTTTCCTTTCTGAGAATAATGTACTTTTGTTATTATTCCAATATACTGTGAGGGCCTAGTAAGTAGGAATATTGTATTTTTTTTATCTTTAACTATATTATACACCAATGACTCAACCCAGAAAATTTCATAGGTTCAATAAATTTTTAATGAACAAATGTGTAAATGGCTATAAAAATGTGTCTACCTCTGGTCATATCTAGACGAAGCCTCAAATAGTTTGGTTTAAAAAATCCAGGACAGCATATTTATCAGTGGACAGAGGAAAAGCAGATGATATTAGTGATACTGGATTTTTTTTAAATTCTATTTTCACAAATGAGTTTCCCATCCATAATTTTTGATACAGTACACTTGGAAAAGATGAGAGCAAATTAGTCCAAGGAAGAATTGGACTTTCTATAAAGAATAGTAAAATTAAACTTAAAAGTAAATACTTATATAGCACTAGTTTTGCTACATGTGGGTTGGCTGGCTTAGTTAGTTTGCCTTGAAAAACTTTTTGGCTTCGGTTTGCTGCTTTCTCTCCTCAGGCTAAAATCTGAGCAACAAGTCATCCTCAAAATTGTCATCATTTTTTTTCACTTTTATCGAAGTATAATTGATGTACAATATACTGCACAAATTTAAAATGCACAATTTGATAATTTTGAATTGATAATTTTAGTGTCTATATTTATTCATATTATTGTGAAAATAAACAAAAGATGTCAGGACCCAGGCAGATTATTAATTACGGTGGTAACCACATTGTTTCTCCTTCACTCCAATCCTTTCCCTTTCTGGGGTGAGATGAGAGGCAGGTTGACAGGCCTGTGTATATGGGGCCACATCACGTGAGAAGAGCCCTGCAATTAGGAAGCTGTAAGCTTAAATAGGACAGCTTACACAACCGTTCTCCTCACCATCTAAGAGGAGGAGAAACTCAACTCCCCTGTTATAAGCAAACTCCCTTTGGGAAGAGAAGGGGAAGACCTCTATACTCTTAACTCTGAAGTGTAAACAAATGTCTACAGTGAGGAGATAGGACAGGCTCCCAAATAACAACCTGGGTTTTAGCCCCCTTTAAAAGGTATAAACATAGGGTCACATGTGACCTTCTCAGGTGTCTTGGCTTTTATATCACCCTTAACTTCCAAAGCTTGTTCTTTAATCAAGGTCCCAGGGGGTCTTTGTTCAGAAACTTCTCACTGCAAAAACATGAAAATATGTTCTCCGGAGTCTCCCAATGACACGTGTGTATACCTGTGAAACCAGTCACCTCGAGCGGGATAGAGAACATACCTACACCCCCAAAATTTCTTCATCCCCTTTTCTAATTCATTTCTACTGGCCCTCCTTGGACAGCCTGCCTCCCATCCCAGGCAACCTCTGATCTGCTTTTGTCACTATAGATTGTTTTACAGTTTGTAGAATTCTATGTAAATAGAATCTTAAAAGTATGTAACACTTTTCTTGATGAAGCTATTTTCTACCTAACAAATTTGATTAAATAAAAGAGATTTTAATTAATTACGTTAGTAGGTCTCAATAAGAAAGTAAACAGATAAGGAAACAGATTATTGTATCCTAGAATGAATTTTAAATTAAGTAATGAACGTGACTCAAATCAAAGCCTGTTCTTAATAACACATAACACCTCTATTACATAAGCAAACTAAAGTTACACTGTTATGAAAAAATCATCCATCTTTGAATAGAGTCACATGTAAGTGAGAAGAAAACAAATGTTTGTTCTTTCAAAACTTATTCATGCTTAGTTAATTTCCAGTTTCCATTTCCTCAGATTTGAATATTGAACAGAAATTCTACCAGTTACCTCAGGAAGTGAATGGCTAACATTAACCAAAGGTCAATAAATAAATAAATAAATAAATAAATATTCATATTGACATATATTTTAGATTACCAAATACCAAATAGTGCTGTGAATGCAAAGACACTGAAATTACATCTGTTGAAAAATTAAATTAAATTTGATGACATTTAGCACTGTCCATCTGGAATTTTCAGACAGTGGAAAGCAGCATTAATTTTCTTCTGATTAGATAAAAGCAACAACAAACAAACACATAGCAACAGAGATTGGATTGGTGGTCACCCGACGGGAAAGGGGAGGGAAGAGGGCGGAAGGGGTAATTAGGCACATGTGTGGTGATGAATTATAATTAGTCTTCAGGTGGTGAATATGATGTAATCTACACAGAATTCAAAATATATTACGATGTACACCTGAAAGTTATATAATGTTATAATCCAATGTTACTGCAATAAAAATTAACGTTAAAAATTTTAAAAAATTTTCTTCTGATTTAAACTATTACAATATATGCACTTGTAATTTAATGCAAACTATTTTGGAGTGAGCGTAAGGAAGAAGCCATTTTAGTCTGGTTTACCTATAGAAAGAAAAGATGCTTACCATTTGAAAAGTTACTTAATCATTTATATTGGTTTGCTCTCCTTTGGAACTGAGGAATTTGGTTGGGAATTGTTTTCAAAATTCCTTTGAAATTTTTTTTTTATCAAAAATTCCTTGTAAATTCAACAATTGTGGTTTTGTTGACATTGTTCACAGGACTCTAAATATTCAATGAACATCTCTCCTTGTGAACATTTGAGCAGAGACTGTACCAGCAAAAACATTAAAAGAATGGGCTATTATGTAGATAATATGGGCCCTTTTTTTAAAAACTATCTTAAAGGTGCGAGGTAGAATACATAAATTTACAAATGCACTATCTCCAACAAATAGGAGGGATAAAAACAGAGTAGAACCAAACCCCATTTTCACTTCCCAAAAATGACATGCTATACAAACACAATTCAGTAAAGTGTATATATCTCTTATGGTGATGATATCATAGATGTATGCATATATCAAAACACATAAAATTGAATACTGTAAATATATCTAATTTATTTTGTCTGAAATACATCAATAATGTACTTTAAAAAATAAAAACCAACTAAATATGTTCATTTTAAAATCAACCAGTTCCTGTTAAAACCACAATATATTACTGTTATTAATAAGTATAAAGTCATTTTTTCTTAATGTCAAAGGTCAGAGATATAAAAATATTGTCAGGATTAATATCCTAGTCACGTTTCCAATTCCTTTCTATTTTGTCATTCACATTATTTCATTGGGCTTTTTTTTCTCATTTGTGTGATTAGTGTAATTTGCCATGTTGCTAATCTGATTTTAAAAATTCATTCCTTAAGTTATTCGTTAAATATTTGTTGTTTGCACTAACATGGCCTTCAAAGCATTTTCTATACATGAAGGCAAATATTAATCACATAACTGTTACTGATGGATGTAATATTCTACATACATATCACACTAATAAAAGGAAGAAAGTTTATACTTTCCAAAAGAACAGCTAAGTGGCCCAGCACTGGTAGCCTAGTGGTGAAGTTCAGCATGCACTGCTTTGGTGGCCCTGGTTTGGCTCCCAGGCACAGATCTACACTGCTCCATTAGCAGCCATGCTGTGCTGGCGGTCCACATACTGAAAAATAGAGGAAGACTGGCAGAGATGCTAGCTCAAGATTAATCTTCCTCAGTAAGAAAAGAAAAGAAAAGAAAAGCTAAGTACCTAATCCTATCCCAAACTGATGGCAAGCCACATATGATCTAACAGCCTGAGAACTGGAGACAACAGCATAAGCATTTGAAATTATATTAGTGAAACATGGTGAAAATGGGGTATTATACATTATTTTGGCTTTTAACCAAACTTATAATGATTAGCATTACTGATGGAATGCTGTGTAGCCAAAGCCCTCTAGGAAGGGGTGTGTGTGTGTGTGTGTGTGTGTGTGTGATATTTTATTTTCTTTTAAGACAACTGTTTTAGACCATCTAGTGTTCCGAGAATGAAAAGAGTTTGATGATCATTTAAACCAGCAGAAACCAGGATCTCCTAAAGTGAAAAACAGATGACTGTATTTGAATTTTATTAGCGAAAAAAAATGCAAAGGTTTTTCAAGGGCTAGTTGGCATAAAATGAAGTATTTTAATAGTTTTGGATCTATTATTTCTTGATTGATCTACTTTGAAAATAAAATGTCTGTCCAGTTTAAATTATCTACCAGAAATTTTTTCTGTCAGAATGAAGTAGAGACGGGAGATTTTGTTTCTTTCACAAGGCCCATTTTGAAAGCTCACACTTTGTGAATGTTGATATTATTATTCACTTGCCAAATATAGTACCTTTTATCTAAAGTGAGTAATACATATTAAAATTCTTAACAGCTATGTGAGTTTTAGCAAAAGCAGCCATAATGTGACAATCAAACAATACAGTGTACAATCCAGTCTTTTAAATTCATTTTCTTGTCAAACACTGGGTGACATATGTGTCATATATGCCCATTTTGTTTTAAGAAATGTTCGGGGTTTGTCATCCTAGCATCTGATTTGCCATGTCTGGAATCAAGGGATTTGAAGTCACACTCTCAGCTGACTTGAATTTGATTAGTGTTTTATGATGTTTCTTTCTTTCTTTTTTTCTTTAGTGAGGAAGATTGGCCTAGAGCTAACATCTGTTGCCAATCTTCCACTTTTTTGCTTGAGGAAGATTGTCCCTGAGGTAACATTTGTGCCAATCTTCCTCTATTTTGTATGTGGGACACCACCACAGCATGCCTTGATGAGCCGTGTGTAAGTCCATACATGGAATCAAAACCTGTGAACCCTGGGTCGACGAAGTGGAGTGTGTGAACCCAATCGCTATGCCACTGGGCTGGCCTCTCTTTTTTTGTAAGTTGTAATAATTGAATGAGAAAGTCACATCCTCAAGATCCTGCAGAAAATGTTTTAAAAAGTATTTCCTCTATTTTTTAAATATAATGAATATTGTAACTTTTTTTTTTTTTTTTTGCCTTAACATTTTTCCATACAGGGACCATTTACTAAACCTTACCATAAAAGAAAATATCAGATAGGGGTGATTGATAAATGTCGAATGCATTAGTTTTAATTTTCTACAAAGCAGTGCTTCTTTAATTACCTGCAGATTTTGTTAAAATGTCCATTCCTATTCGATAATTCAATGACGAGACCCAAAATTCTGTGTTTCTAACAAACTCCCAGGCCCATGGTCTTGGCCCATGAATTTCAAGTTTAGTAGTAAGTTTAGGCACTTCTTCTATACAAATAGTCCTATGCTGACACAGCCCTGAGGGACAACTAAAATGTGTCTATCTTAAGGAATTACAAGCAACAGTCATTTGTTTGTGGAAAGCCTTCTTTCAACTATAAATAAAGTCGTTAAAGTTGTTAAAGAGATGACTTTCTCTGGAATTTTGAGAAGGATCTTTCTGTGTATTTTAGTAACTTTAGCTACTAATGACATGACCCACTCACTAGACTTCCTCAACACAGAGACCATGACGGGTAGAAAGGATGCGATCTATCTGCCCACTCAAGTTATCACTTCAGAAGGAACGTAGATTTTAATTTATAATAGTTTATATGACTCAGTGGATGATACCTTGTTGTTCTGGATTCTTCTCTCCATTCCTCCAATGATACATTAGTAACATCTAATATTTATCTTCAAGCTGTGTTAGAGAGCTCACCTCCCAGAATCTGCCATTTTGGGGCTCTCCCATATAAGTGGAGAATTTGGGAGAAAATTTTGCCTCTTGGATACATGTTAAGGTGAAAGATGCTTCTTTGGCATTGTCTATAACTCATCATTTACTTATTGGGGATGTGTTTTTCATATAATCTTATGAATTAACATAGGTAACAATTTTCCCTGCATATAGGCGAGAACTGGAGAGTTTACCCTTGAGGATTCCACTTCCGCAATATCTAGAAGGGAGGTGGCTCCCTGTTCTTCTTATCTTTCTTTATGCCATTTATCATCAGGTGATCAGGAATGCCTACTTCAGTTTGCTTTATACCGAATTATTTTTAAAGATTAACTTCCTAGATTTTTCCATTTATACTGAATAAAATTTCAGCATGCAGAATGAGTCATGATGGCAGATTACTGCTGGTGACTCAGTTTTCCATCTATTTTTATAGACTGGTGTATGTAAACACAATCTGTTAAATACTATGTTCCTTTATTTAACTTGGTACTAGTCACCCAGTTGATAGTGAACTCTCTAAGGCTAGCTCTCTTGAATGTTTTGTTATGTAAATAAAGTGTCATATATCTGGTTCTCAAAGAATGTAAACAACCAGGTTCTAAGAGATTATTTTACACAAAGAAGGCAAAAAGAATGACAATGTTTTCTAAGTGTATGAAATTTGTTTTCTAAGGAATTTGTCATTATAAGCAGATGGAATGTGGGGGCAATTATAGAAAATATCCAAATCTTTAAAGCATAACAAACTGCTGTTGA